GAAGAAATGAAGGGGCCGGGATATTACAGAGTATTTAGGAGTTTGTAGGTCCATTAATTAATCCATGGAAAATGCTAGGGTACACCAAAACTATACCCCAAACATCTTCCACTCCTTCCATCACTACAAAAAAAAGGTAAGAAAAATTTTAAAAAATAAAAAATAAAAATAAAATAAAATGAATGGTAGAAAGGGGAATGGTGTACATTTGGGAAACCCATTTGGTGCCCCTAACATATCCTTTAATCCATACATATTTTATGGAATTTAATATAGTGGCGGACCGAGAAGTACTAAGAGTGGAGTCAATTTTTTGATTCAACAATATTATTGTATACTATTCCGTATCAATTTTGGGTTTAAAAAGTAGAAATGTATGCCATGGGAATTAAAATTCAAACATATATGCAAGAGATGTTAACCAAAAAAAGGACCGAATGAATGAATCGCCGCCCAAAATTGTGCTGCATATATTTATATGGCTCTGCATCTGGACTCCATGGTGACCATTGTTTTATGTTCGCCCAGCTGGGTCACATGGGAGAAAAGTTTCACTTTACTCTGATCAGTGTCATATCGGCAAGGGTACTCCTCGGCGGCGGGGGCGTAGAATTGGATTGTTCCACCAGCAGCCTGCAAAGTATGGCCGCCGCCTCGGCCGTCTCCAAACGGGCAAAGGGCTTTCCACCCAGCATTAAACCCATGAACACACCCTTGAGACGTAGGGTACATACCCTTGGCCGTCATGGTGCATATCTTTGTGAACTCATCATTGATCTTGATTGGGTGCTGATGGAACTTATCTCGGAACCCATTGTACAAACCCACACTTCCACAATCACACTGAACCACCCAAAAAAAAACAGAGTTTGAAACCAATAAATTAATTTAAAAACTTGAAATAATCGAGCAAAAAGAAAGTTGAGAACTTACATATATCCCGGCATCATGTGTCCGGCCTGACCCATCATGGGGCATGAAGATGCCCTCCCATGGAATCTGAACCCTGTTTCGAAGACGGCTTCTGCAAACTTCACACCAAATCTGAAGCCCCCAGAAAAAAAGTTTCATTTTAGTCGGTAATTGGGGCAATAAAAACCAAAACATTGACTGTTCTTTTTTTTTATAACAGATCGAACACAAAACAGAAGAAGATATCATAAACCCCTAATACCAAAATGTAATTAACTTTGACCCCAGTTGATTAATACGTCTTCAAATAAAAACCCTGACCCGAACCCGACTCCGTGCACGACCCGCAACCCTACGGCCGTCATGCAACCAGACTACCAGAGAACGCTACCGGATTCCCCCATTGCGATTCGGGTCTGACCCGGACCCGGACCCGTATGCCCTGTTTCATTCAAGAATTTACTTTAAAGAACTGAAATTGAAGAATCTTTTTCTTCGTCAAATCAAACTTGAATGTTCATCATCATCGATCTTCAAACCAAAGATAATTCAAGATTTAATTTACAGAATTAGAAAGATTCAATGTGTCAAGAATTCAAGATTTAAAGCCACGTTTCAACCCACAATTCAAGAATTAAAGGTATAATGCCGACTAGTGTTCAAGAATTAATGGAAGAAATATGGATGGAGGCCGGGGCGGGTATGAATGAATAGAGAATGGAGCACTTACATTGAGGAACATGGAGAACTCATCCTCCCACCCCATCTCTGGCGCCAAGTGTTAAATATTAGAATAATAATATTGCTCCTTTGAATTATGGGGTACATGATAGAGTATATATAGAAGATACTCCTAATACAACTAGGAATAGAGAATAGAGACTAACTAAAATACAACTTCTACCATAACTAGGAATACTTAATATTATTGTCTAACATCCCCCCTCAAGCTGAACTCTGGCTGAAGCAAGAGGAAGCTTGGACACTAGCTGGAAACTGGAAACTTCGAGAAGAGAGAAATCTGACGTACGCCGGTGGCTGCTGACGTCGTTGGAGAAGAGAGAAGTCTGACGTGCGCTGGTAGCTGCTAACGTCGTTGGAGAAGAGAGAAATTGACGTGCGCTAGTAGCTGCTGACGTCGATGAAGAAGAGAGAAGGTTGACGTGCGCTTGTAGCTGCTGACGTCGAAGAATAATAGAGAAGGCTACTGGAGGTGCCTGTTTGATTGAAGATTCTTGACATTTTTTGTCTTTTTTTTGGATCGGGCAATGCCCTATTTCCTCCTTGAAGGGGTGAGTTGTAGAGGTATTATTTCCTCTTTCACTACTTCCCCTCTTGGCTTTGCTTTTGTGCTGATTTACTTTGGATTTTTATTGTTTCAACAGAAGAGAAAAAGAAGGGAGGTTGATGATTAGAATGAGTGATTTTAGAGAGAAAAAGTAGGTTAAGAATTGGAGATGGAAAAAAAATTTGGGTCTGAGATTTTGATATGGTGAATTGGAGAGAAACAACAATCATTTTTTTTCTCTTTTTTTTTTGAGAAGATAGGATGATCTGAGAGAGTTTGTGAGAAGTTGGGTTTTTTTTTTGAAGAACCATGGAGATGACAACACAGAAGTTCCTCCTTTGATAGTTTTTTTTGTGTGATTTCAACGAGGGTTTTTTTTTCTTTTTTTCATTCGAATGGAGAAGTTGATTTGAGGATAAAGAAGAAAAAGAAAATAGAGGTGAATAGGGTGGAGCCGCCGTCGCCGGAATTACCGGCGGGAGCAAAGAACTCTTTTAGGTCACCAAGAGCGGTGGCTCCGATACCATGTTGAAATATTAGAATAATAATATTGCTCCTTTGAATTATGGGGTACATGATAGAGTATATATAGAAGAGACTTCTAATATAACTAGGAATAGAAAATAGAGACTAACTAAAATACAATTTCTACCATAACTAGGAATACTTAATATTATTGTCTAACACCAAGAACCAGTTTTTAGCCGCCGCCGCCGCCTCACGGTTAGAACTCAGCTTTATCTCGATACACATTTGCCGCTCCGGGCTTGGCCCCACAGAGTCAAATTGCTCCATTGTTTCCAATTTCCAGTTGCAGACAGACCTGTAAAATATAAGTTTATCAAGATCGAAGTGGAGCATGACGAACTTCACAAACCCGATGGGTTTAATTAAAAGATTTGAAATCAAGAAAGAAGGCGTACGTATATACATACTTTGTACGTGCCAAGTCAAGCAGAGAGCGAGCGCCAGAGATATCAAAGACGACGACGAAGTACATATACGTATGCAGCTCCCTATATACTCCGTATATATACAGGTGGTGGGTCCCCTGTTGTGATTTGTGCATTCGTGCAAAAAAAAAAAAAAACTCATATTTTCCTTTTTCGGACATTCATTGCTTAAAGGTTAGTTGGATAAACATTTGTACCCAATTTTAAACGGAGTATAGACTAGTTTGTCTTGACTTAAATGTAAGTTCAAAACTCGTATTTTGCCAGTGTTGAACTTATATTTTATGTCAGGGTAAAATAAATTTTTGAAAAAAAAATTAAAGTGAAAGTAAAACATTGAAAGTATTCGCAAAATAGAAATTAAAATGCATTTACATTATAAAACATGGTTATGTACATTACCAAAAAGTAATATACACATGTAGAGTGCAAAATTGCAACCACATTATCATAATGCGGATTCCTATTTCGGGAATAAAAGTATAAAACTCATATTTTGATACTTTTATTTATGTTTTAGTTCTATTTGAAGTGATTTTTATAAATTTTTGACATACAAAATGAGAAACAAAGTAAGGTGAGAGTAACACAATCTTTTATTTTATAAAAGGTTGAAACGAATCATCTGAGACTTCTCTAAATTGTTTGAAATTTGCTACACTAGAAGGGATCTGTTTGTTTCTAGAACATAATCAAACGTGTGTGTGAGCCACTGTGAGGAGGGGTTAATTAATATTCTCAACGAAATATTTGATAATATTTATAGATCAATCCAATTGCAATACTTGTAATTTTTCATTCTTATAACTAATGGTTCTCACCCACAATAACCTTCCCACACAACCCTTGATTGACAACAATTAAAATTGATGCTTAATTAATGTCAATAGACGATCGGGGGTTGGGAGGGTTTTAATGGAGATAAAGATCGTTAATTTTATAAACGAAATATCATAGATGACCCAATTAAATTATTGTAACATTTGTAATACACTAATACAAAGTTCGTAAGATTACAAATTTGTCCCAATTGAATTATTGTAACATTAATGTAACATTTGTTATACGCACGTGACATAACGGAGTTATTGGAAATATACTTAAGGGGTTTACAAAAGTAGTTGTAAATGATATTGTGATCCAATGGTACATTTCGTCTATTTGACTATTAGAACTAAAAGGCCTAATACTTTTACAGATACTAAATTTTATATTAATACTTGTTATTTTATTAAAGTTAAATAAAATCTTTTAATCTATCAAAGTAAAGAAATTTAATTTCAATCATAAGCCTAATTGGATACAATGTGCCATCTGAGTATAATATCATAAACCTTAAGGACTTCGTAGTATACTTTGAATAACATGGGAACTGAGAGTTTTTAGTGTAAAATCAAGGGTACTCAATGTATATTTTAGACGAGTGAAATTTGCTCAAAGTATCACCAAAACTTAATACTTTTTCCCAAATGGCACTAAACAATTTTTTTCTTCTAAAACTAACATTAAATTAAGTAATTAGGAGAGGTATCACTACAAGAATCTGCTGAATCTGCAACGGACAAATTCCGTGGCAGAAATGAAAATTCCGTGGCGGATTTCAATTTTGCTACGGATTTGCGACAAAACTAATCCGTGGCAAAAAAATTGTGGCAGATTTTAAATCTGCCACGAAAAATCATATCCGTGGCAGATCTGCTACGAAATCTGCAACGGACATTTCTACATTTCGTACCATACTACTCTAGCGACGGAAAGGGATCAGCCACAGAATCTGCAACGGAATTTTCCGTGGCAGAACTGCTATGGACTGTTTAGACGTTAGTTTTTAAAAAACCTTTGCTGATTTTGCTCATTATTTAGTTAAAACACAACACCACTCATTGGTTCAACATACAAAATAACATAGGACATTTACAAAAGGTCATATCATCATTACACAAGCACAAATATGAATATGTTTATTATATATACCTTTCAAAAAGTCATCACAAAAAAATTAAATGCCATAATGATACTTGAGATATGATACAGTTTCTTAATCTCTCATTGGGTAACTATTTGTGAGGTTTTATTCAACACTATCAAGGCACTACTACAACACTTTAAGACTAGTACACTGCCTCTCGTTTGTCTTCTGTTCTGAATTTTGCCTTTGTCTTCTGTTCTGAATTTTGCCTTTGAAGGAAGAAGTATCCAAATCACTGCACATCCAAGTAACTATATCAGCACTTAACAATACCAACTAATCAAGTGTACCACATGTTTACCCACAACCAGTAAACATGTGTTTTACCAACAAGTAAACAATTATACCAACTAATTTACCAAAATACAAGTAAACAAGTATAGATAATGTTTTGTACCAAAAACAAATAACCAAGTGCAGCAAGTGTTTACCAGAAAATAAAGTGAA